AAAAGAACATCACAATGTTGAGAAAGCAGGAGGTACCATTCTCTTCTTGCAGGGATTTGTCCCCTCTTGGGTCCCAGTGTCTGGGGAAGAAATTTTTTTAACCTGGTATCAAGCCTTGCCTTAGCACTGATACAACATTTTCAACAAGCAGGTTGTGTGCCTGGCCAAGGACCTACCTCTTTGTTGTTCCTGTCTGCCTGTCATTTAGTTTCTCCACTCATTTGTTTCCTTGCCCTTTGAGCTCTTTCTTCGCTGAAGGCCCATTCCCCTTTCTCCCTCTGAGTAGCAGCTTTCCTTAAGGCCTTTGTAGTAACTTATTTGCATTCATTCCCTCCCCCATAATCTCCTTTTTTTGCACGAGTTTTCTAGGTCTCTTTTGCTAGGTATTTTTAATATTAAGAACCACAGTTCTGTAATACCCAGTCTTTCTCTACAGCACACAGTACCGGGCCAGCCTTTGCAACTGGCCTCACACCATCTGCTCTGTGCACATTGGGCTGGAAGGGAACGTGCCATGGTCTTCAGCAGGGCAGAGTACACATTCCTTGGAGTGTTTGACCACGGATGCGCACGAGATCCAAAGGGAGACATGCCAAGATAAATACCCTACTTTGGGCCTTCAGCCAGTACATTGCAGCAACTCCTCGTTTCTGGACAGAGCCAGGAGGAGCAGTGCTGGTCTTGGAGTGCAGAGCTCTGCCTTGGAGCACAGCTCCCCAAAGCATAGTCAAGAGCCTTAACTGAGAGTGGGATTTTCTTTTAAACTGGGAAACCGTGAATACTCTTTGCTTAATTTCCTGGGACAGCCACAGGAGTTTGAGACCTCTGAAAATAAAAGAAGGGAATCCCATCACCCGACAGGACTTCTCAAGAGTTTTCTTTGGTGAAGCCATTTGCTGTGACCCTGCAGGAGCTGGACAGGGGCCTGGGACTACAAGGAGCTCCTAAGCAACACAGCAGGCCTCAGCACGCAGTTGCAGCTATGACCAAATTGATGGCGAGAGAAACCATGTTTCCTACAGATTTCTGTCATGTTGGCCATAGCTGACCAAGGAGCTGTCAGTGCTGGCTGGCCAGCAGGTACAGACACTGACTGACCAGAAGGGCACTGCATCCAAGTGTCTCTCTGCTTTTGCTAAGCAGGGATGCTCACAGGGTCTCTCTCCACCAGCTGCTGAATCACATGAAACCTTAAAGGGATCTGTGATCTTTGCACTCCCCCATGGAGTGTGGCTGAAACCAACTGGTATGTCTAAAAGGAACAGGGGAGGAACTCACAGCTAACCAGACACACAGCTCAACCATGGATGTGTCCTTTTTGGAGGATGGCATGACATGCTGCTGACTGCTACCACTCCTGGTGCTCTGTACTGGCTGGGTTGACTCTCCTGCAGTACACCAGTGCTGCCCAAAATTACTCCAAAATTAGTTTCTCCCTTAGCATTTTGATGTGAGGCAACATCTGATTAAGATTACTTAAGAGTTACTGTCACAGCCTTGTCATAGGCAGGTAAACTTTAACAAAAATCCTTCTCTGCTTGTTCAAGTGTTGCGGTTTGGCTCAAAGGCAGCAGCAGCAGTTTCTCAGTGCCACCAATTTGGAATTTGCTGACAAGCACCAACATTGTGGCAGCATCAGCCACATCACCACAGCGGGCACTGTTTGCCTCAGTGGACTGCTGTGGCAAGCACAGGGAGCGTGGCACCTTCGCCAGCACCCTAAAGATTCCAACAGCCAGAGGTGGAGGCCTGACCACAACTGCACCACCGAGCATTCCCGACCAGGCTGGGGGCACAGTCAAATGTGGAGATGCAGAGGGCTGGAACCTCCGTGGCCATTGGCAGTAATGGGAGGTGGCAGCTGGGGTGTAGGAAGAAGAAGGTAGCAGGAGGGGGCTGTTGATTTGAGAAGGGGCACGAGGTGTGGGATGGGGTGCCTCATGGCAGCAGCCCCAGCACTGTTACATCAGCCGCTCTGCTGGTTTACAGCACTCGCCCTTGAGCCTTGGCCCTGCAGCCTGTGGATACATTGCACAACACATTTGGCCCCTCTCCCCTTCTCTGCTGGGGCTGCCCACTGGCCAGCTGCTGGGAAGCCAAGCTGCCACAGCAGCATGTAGGTTCCCAACAGGGAGGAGAAGATGCTCCATCCACCCCTGTCTCCAACAGGACACCGAGGAGGTGGCAGGACCAGGAAAAGTCCCCAAGGACCTGCTCAAGCCTGCTGTTAGAGTCAGCTCTTGAGGGACTGTGGCAAGGGAAGGAGGGCTCTTCAGGAGGCAGGGAGAAGCTCTGCCTCCCTTTCTGCAGCAAACCAGTGGGGCTGAACTTGAGGGTGCAGAAGCCACCATGTCCTGTACCAGGACACCCCGGAGTAAATACTCATTGAATCAGGAACAAACCCCAGGGTAGACATGATGGGAGAGTGGGACCCTCCTTCCAGAGCTGTGTGCCATGGATGGGACCGGTTCTGGATTGCTCCCCCAGGGAGAAGCAGCTTGATGCCTCTTCCCCATGACAGCGATCAAGTTCTACCCATCCTTCAGCAAGGCAGGAGGGGTGAAAAGCTGTGGGGAAATCACAAAGACCACTGTGCAAGGGCCTAGCATAGAGCTAAATATAGCCACTATCTCAGCCTCCCAAAGATAACAGCCTATGTCCACAGTTCGCCACAATGTCCTGCCCTAACTTCCACCTACCTTTGCTTCAGGGGCAAACACCAAGCCATAGTTGTGAAACACCCTGACCCTCTCACAGCAAACAGGGCTTGTATTGCAGGGCAGAAACGTGCCCTAAAGCCACGTGGGGTGCATTCCTACTGGCCAAAGCCCGCACAGTATAGAGACAAACACACATCTCCCTCGGCACATCTGTGGTGCCAAGCTGCCAGCAACACATGGGAGAAACGTGTGGCAGACCAGAGGGACAAGTGTAAGTCAGGTCAGGGCTTCCCAGTTTTTGGGCTTATTCCATTTCCACCTGAACCTCTCTGGACCAGCGACGAGGCTGAAGCCAGGCTGCAGTGGCCCCGCCCGGAGAAGGGGAAGCAGCACTGGAGAGGCCCCACGAGCCGTGACCACCTTATCCCATGTCTGTCTATTGCTCCTGGGCAAACCTGAACATGGCTCCCCTCCTCCCTGCTGTACCACATGCTGAAATCTCACCATACCCTCGGCACATGAAACACTACTGTAAGTCTGCAAGACTCCTGCAATGGGTACATCTTTCAGCTCTCTCCCCAACTTTAAATCTTACCACTGCCTTCATCTAAAAAGGGTTTATAAAACAAAAAATGTGGTGGGGTTTTTTCTCCCTCAAAAAAACGCTTTTGCCTTGCAGAGTAATAAGTGTATTAAATGGTAGGTTCCAGCAGGAAGTCTCCAGCTTTAACAATAGCTCTCTATGTTTCTACAAGTTAATTGAAAACAAATGTTGACACTTCAATCCTGCTTTTCTACTCTGTAAGGAAGGTGAGAGACAGCAGCATTGCTCACAGCTGTGCAGTTAGAGGCCAGATATGGCACAAAAAGAGGTAAATACTATTATCCCCATGGGGAGAAAGTAAATGCACCATCTCCACCTTTCAGTAGGCTTTACATCCTCTGTCCCCAGAGCTGCTTCCCTGACAGGGAGGCCAGGTCTATGCACACTTTTCACACCATTGAGGACATCAGGCTCTGTGCTGACATGGACTCAGGAGCAGCCCAAAGGAGCAGAAATGGAAACTGGTGGCAGGAGAGCAGCTGGGAAGATCCCTTGGCCCAGCTGGCCCTGCAAAGCAGTGCAGGTCTATGCCAGAGCATCAAGTTGCCTGGCAGATATTTTCAGGATGTTGGAAACATCTTCCCAGCTCTGCACATATGCCAGATAGGGATTCCCATGGGGCTGGTCTCTGTGCCAACTGGGCCCTGCAGGTGTTCTTTTCTCATGGAGGAAAGCCACCTCTAGAATTTTTTCCACTGCATATCATAAATATGCCTGGAAAGCAGATTTTGGAGTATTCGCTGGAGATTTCTACCCAGACACAAGCACAGTCACAAGATGTGGGTGTGCGAGTTACCCTCCTCCCCATCTGGCCCTGAGAACCCAAACACCCTGAGCCTGCTCCACCAGGAAGATGGGTGTCCCAAAAAGTCTTTTCTGTCTCAAGAGCATGTTCCTGTGGATTTAGCTGCTTACTTGTGGCACCCACAAAGCCTTCTCAGTTCTGGCTCCTCAGTTCAGGAAGGACATTGAGGTGCTAGAGCGTGTCCAGAGAAGGGCAACAAAGCTGGTGAAGGGTCTGGATCACAAGTCTTATGAGGAGCAGCTAAGGGAGCTGGGGTTGTTTATCCTGGAGAGGAGGAGTCTCAGGGAGGACCTTATCGCTCTCTACAACTGCCTGAAAGAAGGTTGTAGTCAGGTGAGGGTCGGCCTCTTCTCCCAAGCAACTAGCTATAGTACAAGAGGACATAGTGTTAAGCTGTGGCAGGGGAGGTTTGGGGTGGACATCAAGAGGAATTACTTCACAGAAAGAGTGATATTGGAATGGGGAGGTGGTGGAGTCATCGTCTCTGGAAATGTGTAAGGAAAGACTGGACGTGGCACTTAGTGCCATAGTCTACTTTACACGGTGGTGTTCGGTCATAGGTTGGACTCGATTATCTCAGAAGTCTTTTCCAACCTGGTTGATTCTGTGATTCCGGACAAACAGGGACGGCACCCTGGCACAGGAGCAGCGGGACAGTGAGGGACCGGAGGCAGAGCTTGTCCCTTCTGCCAGAACAAGCTCGCCCTGCTGCAGGGGGTCGGGTCTGCTGGCGCGGTGTCCCCGCAGGGCACCGCCGTGTCCCGTTCCCTGCCTGCTCCCGGGACCCGCCAGCTCCTCGGCCCCGCCCCCTCGGGCTGGGCCACGCCCCTCGCGTGCCGGGCCCGCTCGGGGCACGCTCATTGGCTGCCGCTCGTTGGGGGGCCGGGCCGCCCTTAAGAGGCCGGGCCCGGCCCCACCGCGCGCGGCGGGTTGTGGCTGCTGGGTCGGCCCCATGCACTGCACCAGGTACGGGCGCCCGCGCCCGCCAGCCCGGGCACGATGGTAATGGTAATGGTGATGGTGATGGTAATGGTAGTGGTAGTGGTAGTGCTTTTTGTCTTCCGCGCGGGGTCGCAGCCCCCTCGGGTGTGCGGGAGCGGTGCCGGCGCTCCCCGCCGCGGTGCCGCTCCTGGGCAGAGGGCGGGGATGGGGACGGGATCCTCCGGGCTTGGCTCCTGCAGCTCCCCGGGTGAGCCGGGAGCGGTAGCCCGGGGGCGGCGGGGCTCCCCTCCGCCGGGCTATGCTCTGCTGCCTCTCCCGGGCTCTGCCTGTCCTGGGTCCGGGCGCCTTGGCTTGGCTGTGGATTGCGGAAGGGCCGGGCTGTAGCGAGTTAACCCACCGCCCGGGCAAATGCCCGCGGGAACTGGGCTGTGCCCTCGGGACGGCTCGGCCTTTCCTGAGTCGATGAGGAGGAGGGGGTACAGAACGCCCGAGCGCTGCTTCTCCCGGCAGCGTGTCGCGGCTGCAAGCTTTTGGCTCGGCCGCTGCTGCGCGCCCTGCCCTCGGCAGGGGGTTACCTGGCCCCAGGTACCGCGGGGAGCAGCGCGGAGGCAGCCGAAGGGGTTCAATAAATATAGGTGTAAGTAATGCCTGTGCTCTGACTTGCTTCTCCTTCCTAGAAATAGAGGAGGGGGTAGCGAGTGGCGACGTCCTCCTCTGGAGAGAGCGAAGCTGCAGGAAGAAGTCCAGAGGCAGAGTCGAGTTTGTTCCCCTTTTGAGAGGAGGGGTAAAGGAATCGGCCCCTGTACCTGCCTAGGGCTGCCTGCCTTGCACTGCTTGCTTCCTAGAGCCTTCTTACCTATGTGAGCTCCCGAAACTATATCTCTGCTCCCACCTTCAAAGCATCTGAAGTTCAAGACAGCCATCACCAGCCTCAAAAGGGAACTTTACTCTGTTGGCTGTGAGTTGGCCATCAACAGGCTCTCAAGTGCAGAAAGAGTTGTCTGAGATATCAAATGAGCTGTAAAAGCACAAAGCTTATTTTCATAGTCAGCATAAAAAGCTCTTACTATAGTTCTTAGCTTGGAAAAAGCTCCAAGTAATGCAATTGGGCTGGATATTTCATGCCTCTTCATTCTAAAGCTGTGAATAACCAAGGCTTACTATGAAACCTGACTTCTCAGAGTTACAGGAATTCAGCTGAATAAATTTCCCTGGGAAAAGATGCAATGCAGATGAAACTGACCCAAGTAAGAGAAGCATTGGAGGCTGCATTAATTTAAAGGAGGAAACGACCTATATAAAGTGTGTATGAATAAAAACTTGGCAAAACCAGGTAGAGATGAGCAGAAGTGTTAGCAGACAGGTGGATCTGCTGTCTGTCCTGTACGGCTGCCCTTGAGCTGAAAGGAGGCAATGCAGAAGGAGTTAGCTGGTGGGTGTGTTGGGCTCTGAATAAACAGATGCTCGTGCTGAACGAATGCTGTGAAAGCCTACTCAGAGCTGCTGTGTTGGTGTTGCAGGGTGGGGACTTAAAGCACTGAATTGGAGAGTGTTACTCCTGCTTTTTCTTGGCATGGGAGCAGCAATCAAGCACTAGAGCTGGCTGTGAGTGGCTTTGGCAGCCAGAGCTCTGCCGCATCACAAGGCCGGTGGTCACTGCTAACGCTGCTGGGTCATCCTGCTCTGCGTGGTGGGAGCAGCTTTAGAGCCTGGCCTGCAGCCAAACAGGATTTTTATTAGGGGAATACTCTGTGTTTAAGGTCAGCTGCAATACAGTTGACTTAAGGAGTATGTGTATGATAAATCTGTTCAGTGGCTTATCCAGAGCCAGGCCAAAGAGGGTCCGCCAAAAGCATCCATCTGCACTTCAGTGTAAGGGCAGGAGCGATAGGTGCAGTGTTCAGTGTTCTGGGAGCGGCCTGGCTGCAGGGGCAACTCCAGGGCTACATCTGGCAAGGTGCCAGGTGGGAGCTACCCTAGTATGGGTGCACAGAGAGAGATGGTGCTGCACCCCTGGAGGAATAGGCTGGATGCTGGAGCAGGAAAGGCCGTGGTGGAGGGGTACGTGACCTGTGCCTTCTGGGAGAAGGACTTACTTCCAAAGCCATGGTCAACCTCGAGTAGATGAGTTGTGTTTAGCAGAACCTTGTGGCTCTATAGGTGTTTCCCAGGGGATTAACACAAATGCTGTGGAGGCTGGAGGTAAAACTGGCTGGTGGGCCTTCTGAGCTATCATCTGTTTTAAGTAGAGTAGAGGAAAGAAAGGTGCAGAGCAGTGCTGGCCAAGTCTCTACCCTGCTGCTGTATCAGACTGTTGCTGTCCTTAAAATGCTACTTGCAGGCATTTTAGACTGAGCTGGTCTGGGAGACTCTGATGAGCAAAGAATGTACTTCAACTGAACGAGTGCTTTTTAGCCTCTGAAAATACCGGCCATATGAGGCTTTATAAAAGGTGAAGTCAGTTGTGTAAAGCAGCTTGTGACAAACTGAATTCCTGTTCCTACAAAAGCTTCTGAAGCCCTGGGGAGAATCTCTCCTGGAGGGAGGAAATCACAGCATTGAAATTTAATAATCTCTGGGTTTTGTGAACACTGGCAGGACTGAGCCATGGGCTTTGCTTTGGGTTGGGAATTCTCGGGAGCCTGCTATTGCTAGCCTGGTAGGGCAATGCCTGTATGTGTGTCTTCAAATGGTGACTCTGTTCCTGTAGCAGTTGGAAGAGATCTTGTTCAAGGATACAATAGGCTCTGGTCCTTCTGCTATAGCGCGTTTCTCACTGTGTCTGTAAATCACACCATACAAGTACCTGCTTTTAGTTAAGCCTGAGAGACTTGGGGGGTTGACAGAAGCAAGTTTATTTGGGATGGCTGGGGGAAAGTGGTGTATCAATTGTCTGACAAAATACATATTAAAGTGCTTTTCTAATATCAACTGACTCTTCTTCTGATCTTCCAGAGTATTAGACTATTTTCCTCACAAGCAAGCAATGGCTGTGGATGTAGCAATGCAGCTGTACCTGTGCTCTTCACCCTTGCGAAGAGAGAAGTGTGCCTGCAAAATTGCTCCAAAGCCAAGCAAGCCATTGCGACCCTGCATCCAGCTGAGTAGCAAGGCTGCACTGAATGGGCCAGAAGAGGCAACAAGCTCCTTCACACACAACAAAGTGAAGAAGAGGGTGTCATTTGCAGATAGCAGAGGCTTTGCTCTGACGATGGTGAAGGTGTTCTCGGAGTTTGATGATCCACTAGATATTCCTTTCAACATCACAGAGCTGATAGACAATATTGTGGGTCTGACAACAGCGGAGAAGGACAGCTTTGTCCTGGATTTTGTTCAGCCCTCTGTGGACTACCTGGCCTTCAGAAACCGCCTTGAGACAGACTGTGTTTGCCTTGAAAACTGTGTGCTAAAGGAGCGATCTGTTGTGGGAACGGTGAAGGTGAAGAACCTCGCTTTTGAAAAGACTGTGAAGATCCGAATGACGTTTGACACCTGGAAAAGCTTTGTAGATTACCCGTGCCAGTACGTCAAGGATACGTATGGAGGGTCAGATCGGGACACATTTTCCTTTGACATCAACTTGCCTGAGGGAATTCAATCACACGAAAGAGTCGAGTTTGCCATTTCCTTTGAGTGCAATGGGAAGATGTACTGGGACAACAACAGGGGCACAAATTACAGGATCACATGGTCAACACTGAAGTCTGCTCAGGAAGCCGTCCCTCCCCCACAGGGCCCTGACTTTGGCTGTGCATTTGACCGGTTCGGGAGCCCTCAGTGCTCCTATGGCCTCTTTCCTGAGTGGCCCAGTTATTCAGGCTTCGAGAAGCTCGGGCCCTACTATTGACCCAAGGACAAAGCCCAGGTTGACTGTTGCTGGCGTGTCTGCAGGCTTTGGGGCTGGTCTGAACACGAGGTGTATGAAGAGGTGGAAGAAGGATGGCTCTGTAGCTTGGCATAAGCCTCCCAGCAAAACTAGATGTGCGGTGCTCTGCTGGCAGTGGGCTTATAGTCAGGGAAGCAATTCTGACTCTCCAGATGATCAAAGGACCAGGGACTGTTGCTCATGTCTCTTTAGCACTGCTTCTTCCTCCTCTTCAGTAAAGTTGCCAGTCTCCAGGGAAAACACTACAGTGCTTATATTGTCTATCTAAGCCATGTAGTGGTGGCTGCTTGGTATTGCCTGCCTAGTATTAAGAGTCTGTCAAAATATGTACTAGTATTATATTTTTAGCAGGCTGTACTGTAGCTGCAGGGCTCTCCTTGCAAAGCTGGCCTGTGCCTGTCAGGAAATGGAGTGGTCGGATGACTGGGAATGGAGTCCTCTCTTTGCACATGTCCTTGTAGTGAGGCCCTTCCTACTGGAGGCAGAAAGGGTGTTTTGGAAATGAAAATGCAATGTGATGACAGGAAATGTGGCCCTACAGCCTGCCGTATTAGGAGACGTGCCCGTGGGAGAGGATCTGATATGCTTAGTCACCAGTTGTTTTATCAGATGATCTTGAAAAACTCTCATACCATTGGTGTTACCAAAAATAGAGATTAGCTGTAGCTGTGTGGTGCTTGTAACACAGCTATGGGTTGACATCTTTAACTGCCTTCTTCAAAACTTTCCTATTTCTTTAATCGTAAGTGATCAATGATGCTTTTTCCTCTTGATGGACATCAGAAGTCAGCTGTTGGCTGTGCTGGACCCTGAAAACGCAGTTCCTCCTCCTGCGGACTGTAAAATAGAGTTTTGTCCAGCTGGGGCCCAGAGTCCTGTGCAGGAGACTCTGCTCAGATGTTAAAAGAGCTAAACACAAATGGACCACATGGCTGTTTCATGCTGTGTCCTGTATAGGAAGGTGACTCTTGTGTACCTACTGTGATGGAAGTGCCTTGACAGAGAAAGGGATGACAATGCTTTGTGGTAAACAGGCTTTGGAACTGACATTGCTTTTAAGATCTCATAATGGTTTGTTGCTCTGAGCCATGGACTGCTTGGCAGCTAAAAGCCTGGCACTGCTCACATGTGAGGATGCTGTGGCTATACTGGATGAACAGCAACATGCTGGGCTTTCTTTGCTGTTGAAGCAGTATGGCATTTCAACCTGTAAATGCCCAGGCTTTGCATCTCTCTGCCCATAAAAAGTGGCTCACCCCACCTATGCAAAGAACTAGCCGTGAGGAGAGTGAGTTGTGGGGTTATCCGGCATCACCTCTGGATATGAAACTAATCACAGATGTGAGCCATCTCTATCTTCTGAATGTGTGCTGAGGTGAGGTGGCAAGCTTGTGCAGTGCCCAACAGCCACACAAAGCTTCTTGGGTGCTAGCCAAGAAGAATAACTTCATCCCTCAGCTCAAAGGGAGAGTGCTGAATAGTTTGTAGAAACAGAGGTCAAAGCAATCTTACTTTTTCTAGTGCATAAGCTTTGTATAATTTTTGGGTGTCCATGAATGGGCTGGAGAGAAGCAATGGGCTAGACTATTTAATTTTGTTAACATAGCTTTTAATTCTAGAGACTACTGTATAAAATACTTACAAGCTGTTTTACTCTAACCTAGAAGGGATACTGGGATCACTGTTGGATGCTGAAAGGGACAAGAGTTTGCAGGAAGATTAGCTAGCATTCAACTGCTGCTTTTTCAAAGTGCAAAATCAATACATGTCTTCACTGTGCTTGATCACTTAGTTGAGGTGGTGAATCTACTTGCCAGCCCAGAGATCATCAGGCTTGGTTCCTCTGTTATAACAGCTTCCCAAGTCAGCCTTTGTAACCTGCATCTGGTCTCTCTGGAAGGGACTGTTGCCTAGCTTGGCTTGGTTTTAAACTTAAAGGAAGTTTGAGTGACACTGATACTTTTTATTTATTTAGTGTATGATGCTAATGTTGTAAAACACTGACTGTAGAAAAGTCATGTTCTCCTGGCACATTCTCATGCCTATGGAGAGCTGTTTGTGAGCCAAAACAAGGCATGTGAATCTGGGGTGCTGTGGATGGTGGTATCTCCTTATGGGGCCTGCTTGTTTTCAGGCTGTGCATTGGGTGTGCTTAGGGAGGAATGTGAAAGATGAGCTAGAAGAGCAATGCCATAAGTAAAAGCTAGGTTGGGAACTGACTGTTTGACCAATAGCGGTTTAAAAATACTACTTGTGGCCTTTCCCCTTTTCCCTTTTTCCATTGCCAATGTGAACATAGAAGTGAGGGTTGCTCTCCTTGCTCTATGCCTGGAAGTGCCTTGTAGGGTGTTATGCATGTTGGTTTTTAAAAGATATTTTTGTACACGACATTCAAGTGGAAAATGCACTTTATAATTGCCATGTAATTACTCTTTTAAGAATATGGTTCTGTTTTTATCTGATTGTTAAAATAAAGGTGGAACAAAATGTTGGCTGTGTATCTTGCCATTATCATGGTTAAACACCCATGGGACTGGGGAGGTGATTTGGACACAGGTCCACCTTCCTGCCAATGACCATTGACAGGGAGGAGCACATATCCACAGTGAATTCTGCTGCCCGAAACAGGAAAGAGCTGCCTATTCCTGCTGCCTTCCTGCCAACACAAATGCTTCCAGAGCCTCTGCAGCTCTGGGAAGGGAGGACCTCAGGCCCTTGTCTCTGTGCTCTTAAGTTTTCCTACTAATCACTCTGTTCCTGAACTACCCTTCATCCTTCCCCTGCTTACAGTGCTAGGAACAGCTTTTTTGGGTTTTTTGTTTAGGGTCAGTCACAGTTCTCCCTCTTCTCCCCTTCCTCTGTCTGGCTTGATCTGGGATCACTACTTTCTCTGTGTGCCGAGGTGTGCTGGATGCTGGGAGAGGTGTTGCAGAAGGGGGGTCAGCTCTTTTCTAATACCAGGACCAAATGAAAGTTAGACCCTTCTTCACCTCAAGCTAATTGTCCCTGTTGTCACTGCACTAGCAGGAAATATGCCCCTTTGCAGAAAGGGAATAACTGGTCTAAATGCCAGCCAGGGCTGGTTTCAGCGCTTGATGTGACCTTGACCACAAAGATCGGGCCTTGGTAATGCCCTGGAGGTGATGTATTTCAAACAATCAATCTCTGAGTTGCCTGGGTTTTGCCACTTACAGATAAGATAAGAAGGAAAGCTGTGGGGGAAGGGGGAGGAAAGCAGTCTTGGTGAGTGCTGGTTTGAGGAGCTCTGTAGGCAGTGCTTCCAATCTTACTACAAAGCCTTGCAGAAAGTGAGCTTGGCCTTTGCTCTATACAGAGATAAAACTGAGCACCTTCTGACTGCAGGTATTTCCAAGTCTCCTGCTTTCATAAGATGAGCTCTTATTCCAGAGTGTTTTGCTTTCTGTAGCAGCTGGGTAAGGTAAAGCTTTTAGTCTCTTGGTGCCTCCCCTAATGTTTGCATCACAAAACCAAGCATGCTGACACTGTGGGGTGAAGCTCTTCCACCACATTGCAAAGCTGCTCCCCTTGACAGAGAAATATGGGATCTTCATGCACCTGGGAAAAGGGTACTGCATGGTGTTTCTTGCTGGTCTGTGATCATTTACTCCCCTGTGGTTCAGGGGAGCCTGCTCTGCAGTGTTAGCATTTGGGTCCTGGGAAAGGGAACAGCACAGGCTGAGGGTGTACTGAGCAGGGGTGAAAGCTGTGTGTGCAATTTTTTGTATGCAGGTGGGTAAGAGAGAAACCCTGCCTGATGGCAGCATGAGGCAAAAGGCTTCACTTTCTTGATAACCATTTTCATTCCCTTTTCTCCACAAATTCTTTGCTACCTCCACATCTAAGTAACTACTGTTAAGCACCATTAAAAATGCTTTGGATTTTTTTTTACCCCTGTTGTTCTTTTAATCAAACATACTGATCTCTTTTAAAAGGGCATCTTATTGTTTTTCTCATCGCAGGGAAAAAATAAATATTTTTAAAAGCTGTTTGTGCTTCTGCCTCAGCACATCCAGGTGATTGGGGTGTCTTGGCTAGGACTGTTTTCACATCTGAATGCTGGCCCAAGCTAATGAGTGAGACGACTGCAGTCAAGCATTTCCTGTAATGGTTTTGTGGCTGAAACCCCCATGTAGGACAGTTACTGTATGGGAGGTAAGAGAAGTCCAAGACACCTAGGGCAGCTGAGGAGATGGTGCGAGCATTAGAAGGGCCAAGAGAGCTCAGCTCTGGGATTTCTCTTAATACTCAGGTGTTGTATGCTAGAGAATATAGACATTGCAATTACTGCACTTGTAAAGGCCTTGGTGGCAGGTGTGACCATGCACTTGCTGGTTGATATACAAAGATCTCTTAGAATGCTCCTTGCATTCCACCTCTGTCCCCCACTTTTCTTTGAAGTTCCCAAGCCTCTGTACCCTGAGGGTTTTCAGTGCCACCTCTTGGCAGCTGTCATGTTAATCTTGGTTGTGCTTGGGGGTTCAAATTTCCTAATTCCGTATTCCAGAATGCGTTCCATGGACAGTTTGGTAAAGGGGAGGAGGGCAGATGTTCCCTTGCTCCACATCCAACTCCCTTTGGCAAGCACAACATCCCACTGGCCTGGGTATGCTGTCCTTCAGGGGAGCAGTTCTGCTGAACTACTGCCTTCGCAGCAGCCTCCCCTAGAGCACACTGCATTGCAAGTCCTGGATACAGTGACAAAGACAGGATGTAGGCTCTCTGCACCTGCATCCCGGCAGAACAGGTCAAAACTGTTTAAGAAGTTTGTTAAAAGTAACAGGGAGACCACAGGCCAGAATTTGCTCCTCCCTTCCCATTCTCAGGCTTGCTGAGGGGGTTCACTCTGAGGTTGCTCATGTAGTGAAGAAGGTCCTTGAGTTCCGGTTTCAACACATGCTTAGCTCGTGGCCCTGCTTAATCAGAAAGTTGCTATGTGAGCATCAGAGAACTGTGGGAGCCATAGCCTGAATGTGGGGAGGTGATGAGCAAAAATGTAGGAAATCCAAGAGAGGCTGACTGCTGTCAAACCCAACGAGGATGGTGCAGCCTGCCATCAGTCTGTGTCTCTGTACAGATGCTGTATGGGCATTCCACATTCTTGCTTTTGATGTTTGCTGGGGGCAGATCCAGGGTGAGGGGGGGATGCTCTTGGGAAAAACTGCCCATAACGGGGTAATATGCAGAGGGTAAGAAACATGTCTCTGCCAAAACATGGGAATGTAA